GAAGGCGGGACTAAGGACTGAAAGGACGATTCTGATTGGCTGAAAAATGGACAAAGGGGGCGGGGCCACCTGTCAAATTAAGTTTGATGAAAGGTGGTATATACTATCTCTTCCAGTGCACATACACAGGGTAGAGACTTTTCAGTAAAGCAAGAGACATCTTGAGTCCAGTACTGAAACTTAAAAAAAAAAAAAAAAATAGAAAAACAAAGCATGTTTCTAGTCTTTTAATTATGGAAGTAAATAAGGAAAAACATTTGGAACAAATTATTATTCAAAAAAAGGTATTTTAAATATCTTAAAACATAAAACATCTGTAGTAAATCTATATGCACTCACCAAGCACTTAATAACACATCCATGTTTTTAAAAAATGTTTCAAAGTTAAATACTAAATATTTGTCAAATCAAGAACCATTATCAATTTAAAATAGTAGCAGTATTTCAGACTTCACAACCTACTGGTAATTTACATTTTAGACTAATTTATTTTAACATTTATTGACATCTTTATCACTGGACTAAAAATCATTTTATATTAATTTCACTATATATTAATTAGTTCACTCACTATTTGGAAACACAAATTCATTACCAGCTATTGTCATGATCCTGCCCCGCTGGCTTCCGGTTCCCTGCTTTTACTCTAAAAGTATTTCCTGTTCCCAGCTCACCCAGACTCTCGGACACTTTACTTCATCACTAAAGTGCCTTCACCTACTGTTTCATTTATCACACCTGCTCTCCTCAGTATGTAGCAGCTCCTCGCCTTGTGGGGAGCTGCCAGATTGTTTTTTGCCTAGCCTAAACTCTCCAGCATTTATTCCAGTACCTGTCATTCTGATAACGAAATCCTGCCTGCTCCTGACTAACGATATTTGCCTTGCCCCTATTGTTGGACTGCTACGCCTGTAATTGACACCCTGCCTGAACCATCGACCGGAGATCCTGCCTCATCCCTACTATCGGACTGCTACGCTGGCTATCGACACCCTGCCTGGATTACCTACCTGTGATTCTGCCTTGTCCTCTCTGCCTGTAAGACTGTTTCTCCTGCTCCTGAGCTCTCCCAGTCTGACAATTAAATGTGACTCTGTTGTCTCCGACTACTGGCTTTTTAATTGGGTTCACTCCTTAACAGTAACGGAAGCTGCACACATCACTCCCTGACAGCTATTTATTTTAGTAGCGATCTTAGCTGACTTGGTTCATAATCTCAAAATTAAAACTATATTTAGAAGATCATTACAGGAAAACTACAATGCCATTTTTCCCAATATGGAAAATAGTATGAAATGATCCAATATGGAACATTATACATAACAAGTCCACCTCCAAGCAGGACTTTCACCACTCAAATCATCTCAGGTGCATTACAAATTACTAATAGCACATATTTAGTCTATTATTGTACAGAATATCATGTTATTACAAAAACTGACACTGTAAAATTCTAGTACACATAGTCCAGCATAATATGTGCACGTTGATAACTTGGCGTTTTCCATGGTACCATCTTGAGAAGGTTTTCATTCAGGTCTGCCTTCCACCAGCTCCTCAGCCAGCTGAAACACCTGACTGCCAAGCAGAGCGCTCCAGCACTGAGGAGAAGCTTGAAAAAGCTGATGCCACCATCTCTCCTCCGTTTCTTGGCTTCATCGTCACAAGCTGGAAACAGAAATTCGCAAAGGGTCAAACACTATTAAAATCTGGCTTATCAGGGTTTCCTACAGTAAATACAATGGGCTCTCTTCTATAGTGCACAGCAGAGCTGATGTGAATACAAGTTAAAGTGGATGTGGAAGTCACTATGATCACATGAATCTGTTCATCTACATACTGTTAAAGGGTGGGTTCTACCTAGTTTAAGAAATCCATGTTTTCCCACTTATCACTGATGGGTACCAGTCTACAGAGATAATAATAATGCACACATTTTAATGTTTTGCCTTCTGACATATCTTCCTCTTCTCCAAAAGGAGGGAGGTGACTAAATAAAACAACAACTATCTGCATGGTTAGATATATGACTAGAGGTAAGAGAAAAGTCATATACAGAAACAAATGCTGACTGCACCCTTACCTCTATCAAGCTGCTCCCACTCGGACTGCCAATAATATTCCCTCAAAGCTCTTTGTCTCTTACTGGCTTTAGGCTTCCTGTATTTATGTTGCACTTCACTGTAGTTGGCCACAAGTCCATTGTTGTGTGGGGTTACAATGTAGTGCATGTGCTGCTTATAGCTGAAGGGCTCAATGGTGACATCTAGCTGCTGGTGGAAGGCTTCTGTGAGGAAGTCATCACTGTAGGTCTGCACCATGTCGAACATTTGCTGAGCTGAAGATTCTGGGTAGTGTATCTCTTCTATATTGCTGGCCTGAACCACCTCGAAGTAGCCCACCTGGGTGAGAAAGGTGGTGAGGTCTAGCTTCGGGTTCTGCAGGGCTTGGATCAGTTCAGAGCCGATTTCATAGGTCCTGTCACGACTGAACCTCCCAAAGTCAACTCTATCATGCTCAGTGACATACACCGTCTCCACCACCGTAGTTCTCACCTGGCAACTGATGATGATGCGGTCTATATTATCACTACCACAGTTACAATCTGACCCATAATTTTCCCTCACATATGTTGGGAGGTTTGCAGAAGCTGGGTAGGTTTCTGTGTTCAGGTTGCCAACTTCAAAGTACACAACCTGGAGAGAAAGACACAAAGAGAGAGAGAGCGACAAAGACAGATAAACAACTCTGTGTAAGAATAAAATCGCTGGTACAGAGAAACAGAAGGTTTGTGGACCATCAGTAGGATGCTGCATGAATAGATGGATGGAATAATGACATCAGTGAGTTGCGGTACACTGATGAGCATTTAGGTTAAAAAGATTCAGAGAACCAAAATGGAACAGGAAAATCCAGGTTCAGGTTCAAAAGTAAGAAAACGTTATTCAAAGCTCAGTGGTATTTTTACAAAAAACTAATAACTAAAGATGCAATAGGTGTGTGAAAAACTATTTGTCACTTCTTTTCACAAACTGAATGGTGAGGGAGAAATGGATGTTCATGTGTAAAATTTGTGGTGTGCTCCTTTAATTATAGAAACTGATAGAAACAAACAAAACATCACAAACCTTTCTGGGGCTGTTCAGTACAGGCAGAAGCTCCTCAACATTGCCAAATGGGTGGAAGCCACAGAAACCTCTCTCTGGTTGACAATCTGACACCAGCTGTGACAACAACAGACTCTGTGTCACTGTTCCACATTTTCTTTCTTATAATAATCTGTTATAATAACTATATAGACTGTTTATGCTCATGTATTATAACTACATTATTCAAAATAGTGTAATTAATAATAAGAAAAAATGGAAAATTCACAAATCTACAACAAACATATGGAAAAACGTTCAGCTTGTGATCTAATGTGATTTTACCTGCATGCTGACGACACAGTCAGTGAGTTCACAGGTCACACAGTCATTGGCAAACCAAAACAGGAGCTGAAGGCCATGTCGTGGAAAAGGACGGCCAAACCCTGAATTCATCAGGTGCTCCAGAGAGCAGAGCTGCGACTGAACCATGGCTGACGAAGGCTAACACACATTCACACACACACACACACAGTTTATGTTTCGTAGTCCATGGGGACTTTACATTGACTTACATGCATTTCCTGTAGACTAACCCTAACCTTAACCAGAACCACTACTTGCCTAACCCTAACCCTGACCCTAACCTTAACCTAACCCTAACCTCATCCTAACCCTAAACCATGTTGCCACCCTAAAATTCAATTTCTTGCCCATGGGGACCTCAATTTAGGTCCCCACCGTGAAATGGGTCCTCATGAGTTGGTATGGAGTCAGGAAGAAGTCCCCACAGCAAGACACGCCCCCACACACACACACACACACACACACACACACACACACACACACACACACACATTCACACTTACACAAAATGATATAAAAGATGGCAAGCTTAGCAGGGGATGTCATGGGGGATTCTATGGCCTAATTTCTTTGTATATTAAACATGAAAACGTTGCGATAAATTGGAACAACTGGCCTACTAAACTGTGACAATATGCTGATCTTTAAAAAATGACATTATTACATGTAGCCGCTTGCTTGGAAGTCATTAGCCTAGGTAGGAATGATGGTCTTCAATTGAAGATGTAAACGTCTACCTTACAATATATAATATGGTATGAAAATATCCGGCTTACTTTTCAATGTGTTGTCCCTGTTACTTGTTTTTCACAGCTATACGATCAGCTTCCTCATTTTCTAAACGGAAATACAGTAAGTCTACGTGCAAGATGAAAACTGTCCGCTGCGCCGTGAAATGCGTGCTCGTTCACGTCGCTCGGTAGCGCACGTTGAAGTGGACGTACCTGCTGCGTCATTTGCGCGCCGCTTTGCTGTCGATGTACTTTTCCCTTAAGCCTAAAGATAGATGTTTCGGTTTCACGTGAGTATTGTACCTTAAAACCCATGTGCCACTCTCCTAAAGATAAGGTCAGATTTTACATAGAGAGCTGGTAGTAATTCCAGACTGCTTATGAGTAATATGATGAATGCTGTGTGTTGTTTATGCCACTGCCAAATTCAATGCAGTTGGCGGCCTGCGAAGCAGCCCCCTTGCCTGGCGACATGGGCCGGCCGGAGGGAAGGTGCGCTTATTGACTCATAAATTAATCTCAGTTATGAAATGGCATTATGTGTTAGTTGTACCCTATGTCCAGCCGTTATGTTATTGGTTAGTTTTGGGGCAGCAGTTTTCCAACGACGTGGGACATGTGTGAAGTAACGTCAGCACTAGCACTGTGGCTAACAGACTCTTGCTAACAGTCACCTGCTGAGTGCCAGAGGGTCGTGAAGTGGAATTACGGAGCTGTATTTATTCATATAGTTTAAACCCTTTTCCTTCTGCGGGAAGCTACTAACTGGCTTAACGTTTTGTAATGTTTATTTTTGAAGCTAATCTACAGTGCTGTAATGTTTTCCCATCGAGAAACCATGCTATTGCATTGCTGATTTAGCCAGCTAATATGTTAGGCTAATTGGCTATTCGGTTAAAGTACTTTAACGAGAAATAGTAATAGATACTAACTTATAATTTATTTGTGGAGTGGAACTAATGTTTAAATCAAAGTGGGTTCACCGTCAACCCAATTTTGACTTTATACAACTGATCTAATGTTACACTTCGACCACTTGCGTGCAAAAGCAAGATGCTATTTGATATTTTATCTTGTTAACAATGTTGCATGCAGATAACTAAATTAAAAAAAACGTTATACACTACCAGTCTGGCCTATAATGAAATTGTCACACACATTAGTGTGGTCTGTCGATTTAGCAGCAGACTGGTGTTTAATTAGCTGAATGGTAAGGCGTTGCACAGGAAGCCTGTGTTCCTCTAGAGTTTGTGTCTTTCTGTATTTTAATAACCGCCAAGGTTAGATGATAATAGGACCCAAGTTGGCAAATATCTAATAAAAAGTATTATTCACCTGTATAGTATTACACTAACCTATCAGTTTTCTTATCAAATGACCTTCCACATAACTTGCCTTAAATTAGCGAGTAGCAAGTTTCTGATGACTATATGACATCATGACTGGTAGACATAAGAGGCAGCTTTCACAAAGTTTACTGGTCACAGTGGTTAAATCTAAGAAATGTAGTTATGAGGTCAAATCTGGTATCTAACGTTTTACATTCAGAGATGACAGATTTTGCTGTTGAAGCACTGAATATGTGGTGCGCGGAATCCATTAAATATTTAGTACAGCAAACGTTTAGACATTTTGTGGAAGAAAAAGCACATGTATAACCAATAATATTGGGCCTCATTCACCAGCTGTTCCTAAGAAGAAATGCCTTCTTTAAACCCACTTGTGCAGTTTTCATTAAAATTCTGACATTCACCTCTGTTTTCTTATCTGATTTTGTTCTTAAGTAAGAAGAGAATCTACACACACTCAGTAGCACAATTGAGTGCTGATGTGTTTGTATGAAATAATTGTTTTTCTTCCATTTTACAGTTGTATAATGTATACTTAAACTTGCATAACATTTTTATCATTCATATTTGTAATATTTTAATCATTTTAAAAAGCATTAGGGTCTTAAAATTAGTAAACACTACACAAAAAGTTACACTAAGCAATTAATTGCTTGTTTATAAATAAAGGCTTTAAAAATAATGTGGCTTCTATATTAAAGTTATTTATAGTTTTAGAATTGATGTCAAGCAAGAAAGTAATCACTTAAAAAAAGGTTTCACTGTATATCTTTATTTTTTAAAATTAAATATCTCAGAAATTGTGGCCAGTAGGGGTGTGACAGTACACCTAGCTCAAAACATGTAGCTACTGCTGATTCCTTGCTGATGAGCCTACATTTTTGTCCAGTACATTTCTGCTGTCAGTCGGCCTGGTGAAGGTCATGCTGTCCTCCTGCTGTTCTGATGAGAGATGATGCACGGAGGTCAGAGTCGGCGTGGATTAAAGGGATCAAACACTTAAGTTGCACATATTAGATTAGATTCAGTGTTATTGTCATTACACATGTAGAAGTACAAGGCAATGAAATCTTGTTTAGCATCTAATCAGAATTGCAATAACAGCAGTGCAGAGTGTGCAGCATCTACAGTATATACAGTCAGAACTCATTTACTGATGTGTACAATTGATATTTACAGTAAGATATGTAGGGTAATGTACAATACACAAAATGAGCAGGAGAATCTGGGGAGATGCTGAGCCTTACGTTGTACATGTGCCGCCATCTTTGTCATATGCGCCACATACTTAATACTGTGAGGTCCAAGTATGAAGTTAGTAGTGGCCGAAACCCACCATCAGCCTTTCTTTACGCAGTAGGGTACTAGTGTCTTTAGCCCAAAAATGAGCTGACACTAGCCAGGTGGGTCAGAGAGTTGAACTGTTCATGAAGTCCAACACAGACATCACCAATGATCAGAAATTCTTCAGGTGAAAAACAGGCTACAAATAAATCATGTACACAAACAGCAAAGCAATTCATTGGTTTATGTTTCAATTGAAAAATGATAGCTTAAACTTCATCATCAGTGTCATCATTATTATCATGTTGACTGCTAGGCTATAGAGTCGGTGTCTGCATTTAAAGAGCTGGAAATTTCTTCCAGAAGATATTTGTCCCATGTTCTTTGTTCTACAGTATGTTTTCCTCTCTCTGAATCTCAGTATAAATACAGGCTATGCACTTTGGACGGTAAGGTTATTTAAAATATTTTGAATTCAAAATGGTAACCACAACTAATAACCGCAGAGTGAGTTATTTCTGACTCAACTGCTATTTGGCGCTAGGTGTATAGGGCAGGCTGCACAGCGTTTGGAAAAGAATAGTTGCAGGGGGCATAAAATATCTTTCATAGAGCAGGCAGAAGTAAATCACTTTGAGGTTATTGGTTACCACTGGTTAACAGTTACTGGTTAACGCAGCTTAGCAAGAACGCAGCTTAGCGAGGAAAAGGAGCACTTGGTTTGATGCAAGGCATCTCTGCTAATGCGAACACAGCATAGTCATTGTCATGTGAGACAGATTGCACAGGGATCTAACTCACTGACAAAATGATTAATTGTGCAGACCTAGCATTACTGGCATTCTCAGCTTTTCTTTTTAGTTGCTTTGTGAGATTCTTGAGTTTGTACATGGCACTCTTTGTAAAAACAAAGGTGTGAACACTTCTGCCATATCAGAACATGTCATGACTCTGAAGTTGATGTAGACAAATTTAATACGTCCTGTATTTTATGTGCTCTACATGTGTAGGGATGCACAGTATACAAGCTATTCCTTTTCTTTACCCCTCACCGTGTATGTTTTTTCCATCCCACCTTCCCGCTCCACCTGTCTTTCCTGCTTTCTTAGCAGTCTCAGGATGAAGACTGTACATTGGAGGAGGAAGATGAGGGATTGGTAGAAGAGGAAGATGAAATTGACCAGTTCAACGATGACACCTTTGGAGCTGGGGCCATTGGTGAGTCATATACAATTTATTTTCAAACGTCTGTAGTGGATTTGGGCAACAATTTAGGATTAATTTTAATACCTCGAAAAAAAAAAAAGGCACCAGGCTGAAAAAGCGAGCTGCACTAACAATGAATGTATTAATCTAAATTATTTATTAATCTGAACTGTTAATCCAGTTTTGATGTGAATGCAGCGAACCCTCAGTTCAGTTACTGAGAATAAAACAGACAAAAAGATGACTTGAAAAAAGCTAGATCTAATCTAAATGAATTTATTTACATATGTACAAGGAAGGAAAATGGAATTGGGATTGTTAAATGGGACAGGTGGTACATATGAACAAAAAGGTGGCTAATGGACCAGTGAATGACTAAGCTATTGTTTAGCTATAGTGGAGAGTGAGTTAATATTGTATAAAATTACATTATATTTTGGATTTAAATGATAGGATTTAGACAAGAATTTAAACTAAAAACAGTTGCAAGTTTCTGTGAGTTATGGGCTTTAATTTAGGAGTGACATCAGCTAAACCATGCGTAGGCCACTTATTGTAGCAGGGGAAGAAAGAGTGGTCTGCTTTTAAAATAGAACCCTTTTTCAGGTCCGGGGTGGAGAGCGATGCCAAATTGCCAGGACCCCTCTTAGGCTAAGAGCTCAGGAGGCATCCATTTTTGTCAGCTGGTTTCTCTCCCTCCTTTGTGATACTTTTTCTCATCTTGGTGGTGATTCTCAGCAGTCTGGGTTGAGATGCTGGTGGGGCCAGAGGCACAGTCTTACACATGCCATTTAGAGCTGAGTCAAAGAAAAACCGCATCTTATTGCCAAAGGATTATTCTGAAAACATCTCTGCAAGCTAACAAACAATTCAGCTGGAGTAAAACTACGGTTTTTTTTGTTGACTACAACACTTTTTGGCTGAAAGTGGTTCAAACTTGGAACGCCAAAGACTTGGTCAGCTTGTTTGCCTGCTTGACAAAAGAGTCTTAAGGTTAAATAATGTCTAACTAAGAAAAACACTTCATGTCATAATGCAGGCATAAGATTTTAACAAACATGAATTAGACACAAAAAATACGACAAAGACAAGAGACGTGGACAGAACAAAAACATTGCGAGACGATTTCTTACTGCACTGAGAACAAAGGGAGGCAAATTAAATAGTTATTCACTGGTATTTGGGTGTTGTCTTGTTTGATTAGCTGAGGGTTTTCTCAAAATGTAGTCCTGGTTGGTTCAGACTTTGTCATCATTGAGACGGCTTCCTGATTTGTTCTTACAAACCCGATTCCAAAAAAGTTGGGACACTGTACAAAATGTGAATAAAAACAGAATGCAATGATGTGGAAGGTTGAAATTCCAGTATTTTATTCAGAATAGAATATAGATAACATATCAAATGTTGAAAGTGAGACATTTTGAAATGTCATGCCAAATATTGGCTCATCTTAGATTTCATGGGAGCTACACATTCCAAAAACGTTGGGACAGGTAGCAGTAAGAGGCCAGAAAAGTTAAATGTACATATAAGGAACTAGTTGGAGGACCAATTTGCATCTTATCAGGTCAATTGGCAACATGATTGGGTATAAAAAGAGCCTCTCAGAGTGGCAGTGTCTCTCAGAAGTCAAGATGGGCAGAGGATCACCAATTCCCCCAATGCTGCGGCGAAAAATAGTGGAGCAATATCAGAAAGGAGTTTCTCAAAGAATTGCAAAGAGTGTGAAGTTATCATCATCTACAGTGCATAATATCATCCAAAGATTCAGAGAATCTGGAACAATCTCCGTGCGTAAGGATCAAGGCCGGAAATGGCCAGCCTGCAGTCCAGATCTGTCACCCATAGAAAACATTTGGCGCATCATAAAGAGGAAGATGCAACAAAGAAGACCTGAGACAGTTGAACAACTGGAAGCCTGTATTAGACAAGAATGGGACAACATTCCTATTCCTAAACTTGAGCAACTTGTCTCCTCAGTCCCCAGACGTTTGCAGACTGTGATAAAAAGAAGAGGGGATTCCACACAGTGGTGAACATGGCCTTGTCCCAACTTTTTTGAGATGTGTTGATGCCATGAAATTTAAAATCACCTTATTTTTCCCTTAAAATGATGCATTTTCTCAGTTTGAACATTTGATGTGTCATCTATGTTGTATTCTGAATAAAATATTGAAATTTGAAACTTCCACATCATTGCATTCTGTTTTTATTCACATTTTGTACAGTGTCCCAACTTTTTTGGAATCGGGTTTGTATGATGTACTGTCAAAAGTTCATACCTTGTTGTTGCTTGTGAGGACATACCTCGAAATCCACTATGGAATACCTCAAGAGACGCAGGCTGAAGGTTTTGGAATGGCCATCACAGTCCCCTGATTTAAACATCATTGAAAATTTGTGGGTAGATCTTAAAAGAGCTGTGCATGCAAGACGACCAAAGAATATTACAGAACTAGAAGCCTTTTGCAAGGAAGAATGGGAGAAGATCCCAAGTACAAGAATTGAAAGACTTTTAGCTGGCTATGAAAAGCGTTTGCAAGCTGTGATATCTGCCAGAGGAGGTGTTACTAAGTACTGATTGTGTAGGGTGCCCAAACTTTTGCACCATGCCATAATAATGTTTTTATTTTTTATTTTTGTTCAATTTATGGCATAAGAAGTAACTATGCATCACTGTTTGCTGAAAATATTGTGCATTTTTTCCATTTCCAAGAGAAACTGTGTTAACATCTGTTCAAATAAAAAATCACCAAAATCTGTTATTTGTGTAAGCATATATCTGTAAGCAACAGTCCAAAATTGAAAGCCTAAGTAGGCTTTTTATCAAGAAGACAGTTAGCCTTTCAGTTAAAGCATATCACAATCCATTAATACCACACTTAATCATAAAACAAACAAAAAAATCAAAAGCACTTTTCTAAGGTTTGCAATACTTTGGAAAAGTTAGAATCCGTCAAGGTTAATACCGTAATTGTTGCTTGTTTACAGGAGTTGTAGTATCCAACTCCAGTCACAAGGTGTCACTACTGGTCCATCTGTGGTTAGTTAAAGAGATGAGGATGTCTCTATCTGCATTTGCAAAAGCTTAGAACACTTTGGTACAACAGACAGGGTTATACCAAACTTTATAAGTGAATTGTGACTTTTTTAAACAGTATACATATTTTGGATCTGAGATTTTGCATTTTCAAGTTTAGGATAATGTTTCCATTGCTAGAAGAGGAAAAAGATTAGAGGAGGAGTCCTTTTAAGCACTGACTAGTTAAACCTGTACAAGTCAGATTTATCTCAGCTTTACCAGAACATTTCTAAACTCTTAAACATTTCACACAACATTTGATTATAGGATTCTAAATTCTTCAAGTCTAAAACATATTTTGTTATTATGGAGAGAAAGAAGAAAAGTCATTGGCAGTTACTTTTTACTTAAGTCACAGACTCTGGGGAGATTTTTATTTGCCATTTATGCATAAACAGACAGTCTAGGCATATAGGAATTCATGTGCAGCTTTCTTGGAGTCAGCTAAAGAGTTAAAAGCCAGAAAAGAACATCTAGTCTGAAAATAAAGTAAGAGTGACATAATATGACAACGCAATACAAAAAATAAGATAATGGATGAGATGGTGAACTTCAAATACTGCACATAGTATTTCACATAATGAAGTTGGATATGGCATTCCACTTAGTGAGGTAGTAAGGGGTTATTGCACGTCTCTCACATTTTTGTATTTGCCATCAGTCTTACTGCAGCAGGGAAAAAGCTGTCCTCCCTGCTGTGCCTGAGGCTGTAGGTGCAGTTTTTGTGTCTGAACAGAGTGTGAGCTGGGTGGAGTGGGTCTCTGATTATGTTCTCTGCTCTTTTACAACAGCGCTGTGTGTACAGTGTGTCCATAGCAGAGTTTTTAGTCCCAATGATCCTCTCTGCAGTCTTTATAACTCTTTGAAGAGCCTTTCTCTCTGCTTGTGTGGTGTTACCATACTAGACAGTGATGCCAGTGGTTAGGATGCTCTCAGATGTCAGATGTCACCTGCAGGCCCAGGAACATGTGGCTGTCAGCCCTCTCCACCTCAGTCCCTTTGATGGTCAGAGGCAGCAGAGAAGAGGGGTTCTTCCTAAAGTCTATTATTTCTCTTGTCTTGTTTATGTTGAGGGTGAGGTCATTCTCCTCTCCATAAACAAGAATGTTGTTCACTAAGCTCCTGTAACCCGACTAGTCCCCCTGCCTCGATGAGGCCCAGGATGGTGGCGTCGTCAGTATATTTAATGATGATGGTGTTGTCATGGTTGGAGACACAGTCATGAGTGTACAGGGTGAAGAGTTTGGGGCTGAGACAGCAGCCCTGCAGTGAGTCTGTGCTGATTGTGAGCTCAGCAGACACCCGCCCTCCGATTCTGACCACCATTGGTCTTTATGTCAGGAAGTCCAGAATCCAGTTACAGGTGGGAGTTGGGACACCGAGGTCTGTCAGCTTCTCAACCAGCCTACCCAGGCGAATGGTATTGAATGCAGAACTGTAATCCAGGAAGAGCATCCTAGCATATGTACTGCTGTTGTCCAGGTGTTTCAGGGTATGGAATAAAGCCAGAGCCACCGCATCGTCCACTGATTTATTGGGGGGGTAGGCAAACTGGAGAGAGTCTACGGTGTCCGGGACCATGTGGTTAATGTGTGTTTGTCTAAGCACTTCACGGCGACTGATGTGAGCGCCACTGGCCTGAAGTCATTCAGAGTGGATGTGTCTGACATCTTAGGGACCGGTATGATGATGGATTTTTTGAAAATGTGAGGGACTACTGCTTGGGTTAAAGACAGGTTGTCTGCATACACACTAGCTAGTTGATCCCCACTGACTTTCAACACTTTAGAGGGGACACCATCCAGTCCCCCAGCTTTATGGGGGTTTATCTGTTTCAGGATCTGTGTGTGCGTCACCTGAAAAGCAGTGTCCCCCTGGTTGCAGGGGGATTTTGAGGGGGTATCTGTGTTCAGCCTGTCAAACCCAGCATAGAAATTATTAAGGCTGTCGGGAAGGGTGGCATCTCAGGGGGGTGTGTTTGTTGGTTTGTGACTGCCTGGATTCCCTGCCACATGCTGTGTGTGTTGTTATTCATATAGTAACTCTCCAGTTTTTGGAAGTATGCCCTCTTTACAACTCTGATGGACTTCTGTAGTTTGTACTGGGCTCTCCTGTACTCCACTTGGTCCCCTGACTTGAAAGCTTCCCGCCTCTTCCTGATTTTATGTTTTATGTACCTATTAATCCAGGGTTTTTTTGGGGGGAAGACACGCACAGCTCTGGGTGGGGCGCATATGGACGTGCACCAGCTGATGTAATCATTTGCAGTCTCTGCATATTCATGGATATTGTCTGTGGCCTCTAGGCAGCCCTGCAGGCTGGCCTGTGCACAGACAGTCCAAGTGTTAACAGTTCTCACTGTGACAGGTTTCGCTTTGAGCCATTTGGTGTAAACCAGCCTGAGCTGGATTGCTAGGTGGTCAGATCTACCAAAATGAGGCTTTGCTTCTGCTGAGAAAGTGTTTCTAATGTTACTGTAACAGTGGTCCAGTGTTTTGTTTCCTCTAGTAGGAAAAGTTACAAACTGATACAGATATCATATATCAGTTGACTATGTCAACTGATATCTTTGATAAGCAAAGATAGCTTTGCTTATCAAAATAAAGTGAGTCTCTTCCAGATGGTTTCCTGGCCTTGTAAACACTACATGTCTTCACATCTTATTACTGTACTTGATGACATGCAATTTCTCTTTTTTTAAATTACTATAAGATTTTGAGTTTATTTTTGAGCAGGTGGTCTAACAGAACTCTGTCACTCAGTTATTAAAAATATGAAAACATTTAAACAGATTCCTGTGTTTATCTCAGAAATGTTCAGTCAACCTCCATCCACCAGACTGCTATGCAGACGTACAGTATATGTATAGAGATGAGTACATAGGATTTTTTTTTTATCGATTAGAAAATGCTACCCCTCCACCCACAAGCACAGCTCATATTTGAATGCAGCATGTCCTTTGGTGGTTGTCAAAGGGTATTTTAGAAAATCCAGGGAATTGAATTAATAGTATAGGAAATTTCAGGAAGGGCATCCGGCGTAAAACACGTGCCAAATGTCAACATGTGAGTCGTCAGTGTGACGATTCACTGTGGCGACCCCTAAAACGGGAGAAGCCGAAAGTGACTTTCAGTGCATGTAATTTCACCAGTTCATGGGGCGATACAAACTGCTGCTGCAGAGCCTTTCCCTTGAGATTCAGGTTTAAAAACAATATCTCCCTCAAAACCTTTTGCTGCATCCCCAGTTTTTTAAGTTTCCCAACTTAATCTTTCATGTACCCCTTCTTCTGATTTAAATTAGACAGGTTTTTTTTTAGCTATTGTGATTGTTAGTTTCATAAACATTATGTGACCACTTGTTGGGATAACATGTTTGAGACAATTTATAAGTTGTAAAAAGTGATCAAACAACCACTCTTTCTGGCTCCTCTTCCAGATGACGACTGGCAGGAAGAACATAAACGCCTTGCTGAGCTCGACGAGCGAGATGGGCTAGGAGCGGGGCTGGTGATGGGAGGAGAATCAGATTTAGGAGGAGCTGAGGACTCTTCCTCTACCAGTCTCCCTTCCTCTGCGGACCATCTCCCACTCCCATCCGCCCTCGCTTCACTCAAATTCTCATCTTCGTCTGGACTGCCTCCACCAGGTCAGTGATGTAATTAGCAAAGACTGACTTGACTCAGGAATCCTGGTCATTTCTCTGTCAGATTGCAGTATTCCATACTTTTGTGGTCGGTTTCAGCTTTTTTGCATAATCTGTATTACTTTATTACAGGGGCTCTCAGCTTTTGGTAACCCAAGGCCCACTTTATATTGTAAAATGATTCCAAGGACCACCTTCCCAAATAAATGAGAAAAATAACATAAAATACAACACAAAATAAATAATCTTGGCTTAAATATGTGTTATGCCACTGTGACCGTGGCCCACCACAGGGCGCTCTAGTGCCTACCTGTGGTCTGTGGCCCACTGGTACAGAATGGCTGCTTTATTACATTTTTAGGAGTTTAAATTTAGGGTTAACAGCAGCGAATCTGATGGAATCTCTGCCCACAGTTTTCCTTGACTGGTTGTTTTAGGTATAATATGGAGAGCAGGGCTAAACCTGCTGGAATATCCAAAGTAAAACTGTCCTTTCAGATGTGGAGGATCGAGGAGGAGATGGTGACTTGGCTGAGTCCCTGGCCAGACTCATCCTGGAGGCTGACCCAGCTATTGCTGGGGTCGGTGCAGCTGAGAGGCCAGGTCCAGCTGCCAGCTCTTCAGGATCCGGCCCGTCTGCTCTGCAGGGGCGTGATCGACCCAGAGGTCTGCCCCAGCCATCCTCCAGCCAGCATCCCCCTGAACCACACCAGCATCCCCAGCAACAGCTGCCTCCTAGGCCCTCCACTTCAGGTGAGATTGAATGCAATAAAAGGTTTTACTTTTTCCGTCAGTTAGCAGTCACATGGTGTGTGTTCATACCTCAATACCTTCATAGCATTTCCAAGGTATATGGGATCCAGTGGTATTTAAAACCAGGTTTTGTAAGGACACATCTGATGGAGTGTACATTGCTGTCTAATACCAATTACTTTTGCATGTCTCGCATGGATTAAATCAGTTTGACCTATAATATGATTTTGCACTGTGAGTATCATTAACAGTGCAAAATGACCAGGCTGCCAACCATTTGAACTTCTAAATATGTTCTTCTTGGCTAAGTTCACTGGTATAAATCTTGTAATTTTCAGTTTGCCTTTTCTGTCAACAAATGAATACTTCAAACACTTCTTTCAGACTTATTATTTTATGATTTGGCACAGAATGCAGAAAATAGCACACGGGCTCCCAGACTAGACATTTGTTATGGTCAACAATGTGTCCTATTTACTTGGATATTGTGGAGGAAACAATAAATGCCTATCTTCTTGGCAAAATGACTAATTCTCTACGTAGGTGTTTTGCCAAGAAGGCAAGCATATTTATTTTATCTGGGTGTGGTTGGAAACATTGTGGATTGTATGTGTCTCTGTGGTGCTGCATATTTGTTCAGATGCAGTACTTGAAGCACAGGTTGTAGAGGTATTGGCATGCCATCCCGCTAAACAATATTGGCATCAAAACTTGTTTCACCATAACTTTGGTGTAGTAATCCTTGTCTGTGTTGGCTGTCTAATTGGATCTAAACCCAGAATATTCCCACCCAGGGAATCCAGCCCTCTACCCCAAGGCTGCTCACCATGTTTGTCAGCTGAGCAGCCTGCCTGCTGCCGACCTATATTGTGACTTGACTTTTTGTGGGCTGTGCTGTCAAACACACTCCTTAAGTCTCCCATTGCTGTTTTAATTGTGTTAAGATTTGATGACAGTAGCATATGAGTCACATCAGTTTCATATCCCTCATGCACTGTATGGATGCATCTATGTTTCTGCTCTTGTTTAGTCAGCTCTGTCTTTTCATTTGTGATTCATCCATAGATTGTGTATATGTTTCTGCTCTTGTTTAGTCAGCTCCTTCTTTTCATTTGTGATTCGTCCATAAATTGTGTGCGCACACACACAGTGAGTCAAATAATCACTGCATATTGTTAGTTCTGGGCAGTGCAGTGGTGCTATTTAGCTAAGATTATATCTTGTTTTTTGTCACTATGTGGTTGTTGGTGTTACACTGTTACGGAGTGATTTGGTTTGAAAAGGTGGTTTCCTAGCAGATTTGTTTTTCATGATGGAAAATGTTTAGAAGATTTACTTTCACACACAACAGCCTTTGTTCGGTTACTTAGACTATGTTCACACTGCAGGTCTTAATGCTCAGATCGGATTTTTTGCCGAAATCCGATTTTTTTGCACTGTTGTTCACACTGTCATTTAAATGCGACTGCCATCTGTCTCATGTGTGAACGGTATACGGCCC